CCTCTCCCCATTTCTGAGTGAAGCCTTGCACAACTAATCTGGCCTTGAAACGTTCAATGCTCCCATCCAATTTGTACTTAATTCTGTAGACCCATTTGCATCTGACCACTTTCTTCCTTGGGGGCAAACTCACAATTTTCCATGTTTTGTTTTCTTCCAAGGCCTTAATCTCTTTGTCCATTGCCTTAATCCATCGTTCATCTTTGACTGCCTATGCATAACCGGTTGGCTCATCATGAGAATCGATGGCCGCTAAGAAAGTTTTATGAGTTGGACTAAACTTACGATAGCAAATGTAGTGTGTTAGGGAATGGGCCTTACATGTGGCCGCTTTTCGAACTTAGTTCACGTTGGATGGTGGTAACAATGCGTCACACACATAGTCTCCCAAATACTGAGGTAGTTTTCTTTCCCGTTAAGGTCGCTCCTGTCGCAAAACATATTGTTCATTTTCATTTCTTTGTGGTGTGTTCACTGCAACTTGGTCAGACACACATGTTCCTTGTTGTTTTTCCGAATTTGTTTCCTCATTAGCTGTGTGGACGCGTTCTTCATTTGTGCCCATATGCTGGTTGCCATTAGCTCCAACAAGACTCCTCTCATTCCTAAACGACTCGATTTCATCTTCCACAATCACATGCTCCCCCTCAATTGGGAGTCATTCTCCTCCAAGCGCCTCATTATTGCTAAAAGGAAAGACTTCCTCATAAAAGTGTACATTTCGGGATGTAAAGATATATCCTTTCTCCAAATTATACATTTTCCATCATTTCTTCCCATACGGGAATCCAACGAAAATACACTTCTCGGCACGCTCTCCAAACTTATCCTTTCTAATGCCTTGCCATTTGGCATACGCAAGGCACCCAAAAACTTTAATGTGAGAATAATTGGGTGTTTTCCCAAACAACACTTCAAATGGTGCGCAGCCTCCTAGGCTTGGAGTGTAGTTAATCAGATGAGTTGCTGCCATAATACACTCTCCCCAAAATTTTAAGGGTAGATTGGCCTGGAAACGTAATGCTCTTGCCACATTGAGGAAATGTTGGTGCTTCCTTTCTACCCTCCCATTTTGTTGCGGTGGCCCAACACAAGAGGTTTGATGAATAATTCCCTGAATGAGAAAAAATTCATTGAGAGTCCCTATGACTTCCTTCCCACTGTCACTACGAACCATCTTGATGTCAACCCCAAATTGTCTCCTAACCATAATACAAAAGGACATGAAAACCTTTTGAGTTTCTGATTTATCATGCAAAAGATACACCCACGTAGTACGTGTAAAATCATCCACGATGGTTAGGAAATAATGGGCTCCTGAGAGAGATGGAGTCTGATACTGACCCCATAGGTCGCAATGTACTAATTCGAAAGCATGCGAAGGTTTATTGTCGCTTAAAGGAAATGAAATTCGTGTCTACTTTGCACGATGACATATATCACAACACTTAACACAAATATTATTATGGTTGGTTTATAAATAGGATAATTTTTTGTCAGAAAGATGTCCTAGACGTTTGTGCCACARCTTCTCCGTATTCTTCTTAGCGGCCATTGCATGAGCACTATGTGTGTTTCGCAAATAGTATAGGGCATCCTTGAGATCACCCAATCCAATCAGCGTTCGTCGGGTGGGGTCCTGTATTACACAAACATTCAAATAGTAAGTAATAGCACAATCCATATCTTCACTTAACTTTCTTGATGATATCAGATTACATTTAAAATCCGGAACATAAAGAACATCTTTCAATTTGATATGTTTGTCAAGCATGATATCCCCTATTTTATTTACTTTCAAAGAATCTCCATTCGGGATGACAACTCTTTCATCMCTTCCAGCCTCTCGAACATTCTCAAAGGCTTTAAGATTACTAGAAACATGGTGTGATGCACCACTATCAATAATCCAATTCGATAAGCGGATCAAGGAAAATTTCTTACCAAACAGTGCATCATGGATCATGTTTTCTAAATCACCTGTACCTAATAGAGACATTAAACGATCAAATTGAGCTTGTGTGAGAGATGACATCTGTACAGTGTTGTTCAACGCTCCCATTTCTTCAGTGACAACACCTGCTCGACCCTAGATGGCATTGGTCATTGCTCCTTTTCCTCCGTGATTTCCATTGCCTCGTCCTCGACCATGGCCTGCTTTACCTCCATTTTCGGTTTTTCCAGTGTTCCGAGTACCCAATGATTTCAAAACAGCAAGATTTGTCATGTCCAGGTCTCTTGCGGTGAGCACATACTACGGGTAGATCAGTAGAGTCTCACCCTTCTCCTATCTGACTCCTTTGATCTAATTTTTCTCGACTTGCGAAGGCAACATCTTGTATCCTTGGATCTTCGCGCTGCCCCGCTTTCAATTACAATTCTTCTCTTGATATCATTGCAAAATAGTGAGTGAGTGAAGGCAATGGGTTCATGCTTATAATATTTGATATGACAGTACCATATCGATCATCAAGGCCCATAAAAAATTTATAGACCTTTTCATTCTCCCTTTCTTCTAGTATATTGATCAACGTTTTACACATCGATCCGCACACACAAGTGTCGATTTTAGTATACTGGTCTAGTTGATCCCATATTCCTTTTAGTTTAGCATAGTAATCCGTGACACTTAGTGACCCTTGCTTGAATTCATTTAATTCCCCTTTCAATTGATATATTTGGGGACCATGCCCTTGATGATATCTCTGTTGGAGTTCAGTCTACAACTCTCTAGCATCATCAAAGGAAATTATAGTATTTTGTATGCTTTTGTCAACACAATTAAAAATACATGTAACAACCATATCATTGCATTTATTCCAAGTATTCTTATCAATGTCATCAGCCTTAGTTTTCTCTAGAATCCCATCAATGAAACTCAATTTGTTTTTAGATTTTAGAGCTCTTTGAAAGGCCTTTTCCCAAACATGATAATTTTCTCCATTAAGAATGATTTGGCTCAGAAGCATACTTGGATTGTCAGAGGAGCTCAGATAATACACATACGTGGGATCACTGATCGATGGGATCTTGAAGGAGGTGGATGGGTTGCTGTGAGTCATTGCTTTAGACAAGAAATCGCTCAAAAAAATCGTTGGGTTGAAAAGAGTGGTTTGGCACACACCGAATCTCACTGCTATGAGTCACACAACTCGTCTTCTTTGATGGGCACACGCCCTCTGAACGAATCAGTGGTGAAAATCACCATGGTTCTGATACCATGATAAAACTATGAAGAAGATGATAACCGAAATCATAGAATTCAAAGAAAGAGAAGAATTCCAATGGGAGAAAAGTTTTTCTCATAAACTTGTATATCAAAGGGACGTCGGTTACAGTATATATATACAAGTTACAAATCAAAAAAATAGTAAGTCTAGTAATGGTCACCTCTATAATTTAGGACTTGTAATTATAGCATACTTTCTTATTACCATCCCATCAAGTGGAGTCGAGCGGTGACCCGAGAGGCAAGAGTGTGTCCTTTCCATGTTTTTTCTCCAGAAAAAGACAATTCCAATTGCCAAGATTATTTCATGAAATCTGGTTCATGGCAGTTTTTTTTTTTCAGAGTTAAACTGCTACTGGATCACGGGTTGAACAGTTCAACCATTTGGTTTGTTTAAATAAAAATAAAATATATATCAAAGAAAATAATAAATATTTTTAGATTGCTTTTAAAAGTTATTTTACACTAATATACATGGTAAAAAAAAAGAAATATAAATTATACGTCTAAACAATAATTTGAACTCTACACCAATCACACGGCATGCACACTCCCGTATTTGTATGTGATTAGTGTGGAAATTGCTCTATGACTATGGGGAGGGAACCAATCCCGATTCCAACTATACTCCGCTAGTGTAAATTTGTCTTACAGTGTTGGTCGGGTCGGGTACTCGGGTTCCAAGCATAAATCCATCAAAGACAAGGGTTGCATACTTGCATTTGCGTCTGATTGGAATCAAAGGCATGCATGGGAATTGAATGATACAACAACACTTGATTATTTGTTTGTTTGTATTAATTCATGATTCAAGGGCCATGTTTTTGGTGTGTTCTACTACACTTATTGATTTTTACTAGTATATAGCCAATTTCTATTTTCTAGTGTGGATATGCTCCTCACCATGTATTAGAGGATATTATTTATATTCATAGGAGAGATATTCCTAATATAATATACAGTAGGATGTGCCTCACACTGTGAGCACAGTGTCAGTATAAGGTACATTCAGTGAGGAGCATATCCCAATTGCGATTGGGATAAGAAGACTTTGGGATGGAGCAAGTAAGTGGTCCAACCCAACCGGTTGGTCTACAATTACAACCCTGGTTTGATTGGACAATGGACAGCCTTGGCACCAAGAATTCTGAGTTATATATATATATATATCACACTCCATTCACACAGTCATTGCGTTCAGCTAATTCTGGTTTAGACTTTAGACGCGTTTTCCTTCCATGGGTTTGGACTTTGGCGGCTTGGAGCTGGATTTGGATTTGAAAATTGTAATCGTTTCCCACAATTTTTCTTTGTCGTTTCCGGTTTCCATCAATCTTCTTCTTTCCCTCTCTCCTCCCATTGTCTAATTCTGGTTTTCACTTCCTCTGTTTGGTTTGATTTTATTTTCTTTATTTCCCCAAACAGAAAACCATCTCTCGAGTCTCCAGTTTCCCGAAATGTGCACGAATCGATCATTTACACGTGGTTGATCTGACACGTGTACGACCGAAAGGCCTAAATCAGCTTCACCTAATCTTTGGATTCGGAGTTTGGAGTTCGGACCCTACAAAATAGGAATAAGAGGGAGCCTGGTTCCAGTGCTCCAATCCACACAAGGGTCCAAAAACACCGGCGGCCTTGAACCAGTCACCCACCGCTAAGGTTCCGCCACGTCGCAGTCGCAATTCTCTCTCTCTCTGCTCGTGCCAGCCAGCCACCTTCGCACGTGCTTCCTCTCCTCCGAGATCTTTTATAATCTACAACGCACACTATTCCTCCAATCTTCCTTCTCTTGACCTCTCCTTCAAATTTCGAAAGTCTCTTCCTTCTCTTCGTCGTCTACTCCGGTCCGACTTCCTTGATATCTCTTCCGTCTCTGCAATGGCGGAAGCACCCTCTCCTACTCCCCTGTTGAAGGATGAACTCGATATCGTGATACCCACCATCCGGAACCTCGATTTTCTTGAGATGTGGAGGCCTTTCTTCCAGCCTTACCATCTCATCATCGTTCAGGATGGTGATCCCTCCAAGACCATCAAAGTTCCTCCGGGGTTCGATTTCGATCTCTACAACCGCAACGACATTAACAGGATTCTTGGTCCCAAGGCCTCTTGCATTTCCTTCAAGGACTCTGCCTGCCGTTGCTTCGGCTACATGGTGTCCAAGAAGAAGTATATCTTTACCATTGATGATGACTGCTTTGTAAGTGTTTCTGTTTATGCCTCTGTAAGGTGGGTCTTTGGTTATGCGGCGTCGCTTTTGGGTTTGGGGAGAAAGTTTGGATCTTAATGGGTTGTGGGTGCTTTTTTGTTGGTTTTGTTATTTTTGTTCTTTTCTTTTTTTTTTTTAATTTGTGGCCAAGATTGGGTCTTGATGGGGTTTGTGAAAAACCAGATTTGATGTGATTTAAAGCCCTTTTCTTTCTTGTTTGAAGTTACATGACTCTGATGTTTTCATATACTTTTTTCTCTTTTTTATTTTTTGTGAAAGATGCTTTCAGAAGATTGAAAGATGTTTTTCAATTTTCTTTTTTTTTGAGTTCTTTAGGGGCATGATGGCATTGTTGACACTGGATCTGATTTTGTTGTTTGTATCTCATATCTGCTTAATTTTGAATTTATAATACTGTCTGGTGCTTCCATCTTCCATCCAGTTGACTAATTGATTAAAAATGTCATTTTTCTGAAATTGCCAGACGTTTAGAACTTTTTTCTTGCCACGTGGCAAAGCAGAAGTAGCCCATCAATTTGATTATTTGCCCTATGCGTCATAGGGTGCCAGTGGAGATTAGGGAAATTGTTGCTGGTTCTTGGCACCATTGTTATTTCCTCGTTAATGGTTTTTTCAATTAATCTTCTGGTTATACCGTTATCTCCAAATGGGTGGGACGCTCCAACATGATTCATGATTGTGTGTGTCTTTCTGGTTGGTTAATAACTGCTTAATTCTCTTCTGGTCACACCATTATCTGATCTCCAAATGGGTGGGTATCTCCGAGATGATTCATGATTGTGTGTGTTTGTCTTTCTGGTTGGTTAATAATTCCTTAGTTTCTCTTCTGATAATTACCATTATCTGATGTCCAAGTGGGTGGTAGTGTGGTAGTCTCCAAGATGATTCATGATTGTGTGTGTTTGTCTTTCTGGTTGGTTATTAATTCCTTAATTCTCTTCTGCCTTCTGGTAATATCATTGTCTGATCTCCAAATGGGTGGGTTATCTCCAAGATGATTCATGATTATTTCTGGCTGGCTAATAATTCCTTAATTTCTCTTTTGGCAATACCATTATCTGATCTCCAAATGGGTGGATCTTTCCAAGATGATTGTGTGTCTGTTTTTCTTCTTGACTCCGCTTTTCTCAATTATGGTTTATTATTCAATTGATTTTGATGTTTGATGTGTACAGGTTGCGAAGGATCCATCTGGCAAACAGATCAATGCACTTGAGCAGCACATCAAGAATATTCTCTCCCCATCCACTCCTTTTTTCTTCAATACCCTATATGATCCTTACCGAGATGGTGCAGACTTTGTCCGTGGGTACCCTTTCAGTCTCCGTGAGGGTGTTCCCACAGTTGTTTCCCATGGCCTTTGGCTCAACATTCCAGATTATGATGCCCCCACCCAGCTTGTCAAGCCTCTTGAAAGAAACACCAGGTATTGGAGATCCTTCATATATCAGATCTTGAGATCTGCTTTTCTGCCATGTTTCTTAATCTTTAGCTTATCTCTATCAGGTATGTAGATGCAGTTATGACCATACCTAAGGGCACTTTGTTCCCCATGTGTGGTATGAATCTAGCATTCAATCGGGAACTCATTGGTCCAGCAATGTACTTTGGACTCATGGGTGATGGCCAACCAATTGGACGCTATGATGATATGTGGGCTGGTTGGTGCACCAAGGTACTCTCTCTCTCTCTCTCTCTCTCCCCTTTTGAGTTTTATTGTGATGTGAACTCGGCTTCACTCAGTGCAAGGCTGTCAAACTAGATTATTTATTTCTTTTTGTTGCTTAGATCTTGTTTGGTATCATTGCCATTTTCTCAGGCCACAGAACCCGAGGTGAGACTGTTGCTCTGTTACTCGCAACAGTTGGAAAACTCTTGCAAAAAACACTTAACCTAACAAAGGATATGAGAAAATGCTTACATACAACGCCTTGGAGAAATGGCATTGACACCAAACACCATCTTATTAATTGACATTGTAGGGCAATGTGTTTAAGTTTAAAGCCTTTTGCTAATTAGTGATTTGCGTGGGTTTATTGCTTCAAGCCAATTTACTGTTGTCTTCAATCTGGTTTGAGATTTTTAGGTCATATGCGATCATTTGGGATGGGGAATCAAAACCGGTCTGCCCTACATCTGGCACAGCAAAGCAAGTAACCCATTTGTGAACCTGAAGAAAGAATACAATGGTATCTATTGGCAAGAAGAGATAATCCCTTTCTTTCAGTCTCTGACTATTCCAATGGAATGCACCACAGTTCAGAAGTGTTACATTGAACTCTCCAAGCAGGTTAAGGAAAAGCTTGGGAAAGTAGATCCCTACTTTGTCAAGCTAGCAGATGCCATGGTCACATGGATTGAAGCTTGGGATGAGCTCAACCCATCTGGGAATGCTGCTTGAAGTGTACCCAACGGAACTGCATTAGAAGACCTTGGCTAACATTCGTCACCACTGTCTTTACCAGTCTGGACTTAGTAATCGCTTAGCTTTTGGATGCAAGTTTTTTTTTTTTTTTTGCAGGTGAATACATGCAATTTTTATTTTTATTTTTTTTTTTCATTTGAGTTTAGAACAATAAGACATCGGTTCCTAATTCCTATATTGAAATTTTGTGCATCACATGTTTGATTGAGCAATGATAAGGTGGTAGTGGATTGTAAGAAACAAATTTAGTTGGTGGGGATCATTGGCTTTTGCGGTGGGATTGAGTTCAAATTTTCAACTCAGAAAAGGCCAAATTGAGTCCCACAAAGCGCCATGAAAGGCCAATTTTGAACTCATTTTTGTACCTATCACAATTAAATCATTTGACAAGAGCACAAAATTAAACCATAAACCAACTTGGGAGGACTCAATTTGGCTTTTTTTTTTGAGTTCAAAATTCGAATTAATCCACTCCAAAAGCAAATGATGATTCGTGTTTGAATGTAAACATCCTATCAACCGAATTTCAAACATTCTGAATGTTAATTTTAGTGCGTAGAACCAAGGAGCATGACGATTCGTGGGATCTAAACTTCACATTTGAAAACGATCAATTGGGATCTAGAGGGGCTGATGTCCAACCTTGATRAAGTGGAGGATTTCGGCAACTTGATCTTAATTTCTTTCAAAAAGATGACATAAAAAAGACCGATTGAACTGCGTAGTTCTGAAAATTGAACCAATGGCTTCTGTGGATTTGGATGTAATATAAATAAAAATCATTTAACATCTATGACAACTCTYAATCGGTTGATCCTTGCTGAATGATTCAGTTGAACCGCAACCAGAACTGCAGGTTCAATTAGGGGTGATCATCAAAAACGAAAAAATTGAACTGAACTGATGAAATTGAATTAAAAAAATCCAGTTAATTGAACCAATCAGTTGGGTGTTTCGAAAAACTGAAGGTAATAGTTTGGTTTTRGTCAACCAATATGAAAAACAGGCAGTTAACAAAATTGACCAGGAAAATCCATGATGCGGAAAAGATATGGTATGGAGAGAGTTTTAACCAATTAAAACCACCCATGAATTTTGATCAATAACACATTATTAGTTACCACGTTTATGATTCCAGTTTGTTGATCAGCTGTTTTTCGGATATCAATATATCATATCTTTTCCATATCATAATCGAACCCACCTGTCCAACCTGCAGAGGTAAATTGGTTCTTAYACTCCCCAATTATGCGGTTCAATTTGTTCTATATGCAGTTCCGGTTGGTTGAGACTTCATACGGATGGTTTAAATTGATGTTGTCATAAATGTAATAGACATCAAGCATGAGCTTGATGTTGTCAAAGTCAAACCATGACTTTTTTTTGGGATTTTTGGACTGCGAAAACTAAAACCTTACCTTTTTTTTTTAACCAAATTGGTGTCACCGGATTTTGGAAAAATCAAAAATTAAAACCAATCGGTTTGATTTTCTTGGTTATTTTGACTTTCTAGGGTTCGACCAAAATTCATGAGTGAGTTTTGATTGGTCAAAACTCTTTCCATACCATATCTTTTCCGCATCAATGCATCATAGATTTTCCTGGACAGATGAAACTCAAGCTGATGCTTAATGCATTTATGAAAACAATCAATTTAACCAACGTAGCTCTGCAGTTAAATCCTATTAATGCATTGGGTCATCATCGAGATCCACAAAAGAAAGCAAAACATCAGAAAATTCCCCATTTCGAGATCGAGATTGAGAGGAAAATCATTGCCCCATATGTCTGTACAACAAAAAGAGTAATATAGTATAAAATCATTGTGCCCCATATAATGCTATTCCAATGACTCAATGAGTGGAAAAATGCCTGCAATGTCTTTTATGGACCTTTTTTGATTATCTCAAGTCAGAAACAATAAATTATGGTCAAAAACGCTGCAAAAGAATGATTATTTATTAGCCACTATTTACATGCATCCATTTAATCTTGACAACCTGAGAATGAGATCCAAAAATTTTGTTGTAGGTTTAATTTAGATGCTTTTTTATTGGTAGTTAAATTTACATGCTTTTGCCAAGCACTGAGTGGTTTACCATAAAACGTGCCAAGCCCATGGATCACTGTGACGGCACTCTGGGCCTCATCATAAATTGCAGATTCCACCCAGCTTAGTAACCAGTGTAAAGTAATGTGGGATCTCGCCAAATAGAAAATGAGCTTTGTCAATTTAGGTGCCTCTGACTCTGAAATTCTTAAAAAACCCTTGGAGAGTGTACATACACCACCAACTGACATTCATCACCAGCTACTGCAAATACACCTGACTTTGAATCAGCAGCAATACATGAAACCCTACCACCTGATACAAAACAAAGATGAGAAAGGAGAAAATAAACATTTCAAAGCTGCATAATCGGATCTGTTGCTAGTGATTTGAATTAAACCACCAAAAGTGGCCATTATGGTCACTGAGGTATTCAAATATCACCTATATTTACGAGTAAATCAATTCCAAAATAAATAAAAAAAATCAGATCCATTACTAGGTTAAAATATATCTCAATTCGAGCTCCCAAAGGCAAATTTCAAGGTGACAATGTACCAGAGGCAATCTTATGCTTACCTTTGAAATGATGCAAATCAGCAAGTTTGGTTCCTGTAGACAACTCCCACATGTAGACCAGCCCCTCATGAGTACCAATAATCCCATGTCCAACTGATACATTAGCAGTGGAAGCCCTGCATGGCAGGTTAAAAGATTTAAAACTCTAAACAGGCAATAGCAAATGTCTGATCTATCAATTAGTCTTCCATTAACAGGAGTTAATTGATGGCACTATTGACAACTTGATACTCTAAAACCGGTTAGCCTCTAACATATCATGTTGTCATTGACCAAGAATCATAATGCGTTATTTTTCTTTCTGTTCATTTTTTCCCAATCTAATATGGAAGCCATCTGCTTCTTCAGGGTCTAAACTGTCTATGGTTACATCTAGGCACTACCAGGCATCTTTCCTTGCCTTGACAACTTTGGTGAATTTTTAAATTAAGAAACATACGATCCACAAGCACCTTGGATCCAGTACACTTCCTAAGATTGCTATATTTTTCACCAACAAAGCCAGCCTCCACAACGGAATTGGACTAGTCTTGCAATCATTTGGTTGATTCTGAAGATGGTCAGAAGCAGCAGTGGTGACAAGAAGCCAGATGGCTATATCTTCAGCATCCAATGTATGAAATATATTATTTTCATCAGCCCCCGAAAACCACATCTCTTTTGACCCCATAGTCACTTTTTTTATGTGTTCTGCATTAGTACTGGAAGAAAGAGTATCTTTTCTTTGCCAACTAAACAAGCCAACTGGAAGGAACCCAAAGATTGAATTGCTTGGAACAGAAAACCTTGACAAGAAAATTCGTTTAGAGATATCCCTGAAATAAATTAGAAACCATTATGCATCAAAGACTGAAAGCAGATAGTGGAAACCATAAGAGGAAAAAGATAAAGAATGGGAGAAATTTTGACTAAAGAATAACAAAGCAAATGAAGAGATGAAAAGGAAAATTACAAGAAACAACACAACAAAGCCAATGAGATAGGAGAGAGCATATTCAGTTACATGAAAATGAACTATACAGAACAAACAAGGAAATAGATGCATTTATGGGAGTCATGAGCAGATTCCAGATCCAGAGCATCTCATATGAAACTTACGTCTAGAGAATCTTATTATAGCATAAATAAATTGCAGGAAACATAAACAAAATACTGAAAGCTGTATAAATTGTAAACACAAAAGCTGGTGTAGAGACCTGGGCTCAAATTCCAGTAGCCATAGTTGATTGTTAATAAAATGTGTCATGGCTTGATGGTAACATGCTATTTTGTCCATCAAATAACACACACACAAGCCATGTCAAATGCATTCCCCTTAGTGAACAATAAAAAAGAAAAAAATATGTTCGTCAATGGATTCTAAGACAAAGACATAGGAATAAGGAAGGTGATCAATAACTTCACTTATCTGCATAAAGTAAGAGAATATGCTTGCAAAGCCATGATTCTGATAATATTAATGCAAACCCTATGGATTGCAACTCCTTCAGTATAATTTGGATATTGTGCAACTGCACTAAAGGGCAATGTTTAGAGAGCTGGGATCTGCAGTACTTTTTGTGCTCTCCTTGTGCACTTCCATTCAGTCTGTGACAGGTATCCCCTTATATTGGTGTTAATCAGGCCACACATGTAATATGACACCTGCCACAGACTAAATGGAAGTGCACAAGTGCAGCACAAAAATGTTCAGCATATCCCGAGCGTCCATTTTTTATTGATATCCAGAGCACCCATTTTTTTATACTAAAATAAAATTCATTGAAAACAAAAAAGGAGAAATTACAGGGGGAAGGTGATAAATCACCCCAAGAGAACTTAAAGAAAACCCAACTACAAAGATAAAACACTCACAACCTACACTAAAATAAAATTCATTGAAAACAAAAAAGGAGAAATTACAGGGGGAAGGTGATAAATCACCCCAAGAGAACTTAAAGAAAACCCAACTACAAAGATAAAAACACACAACCTACGCAAACCCGACCAGGAAAAAGAAACTCAAAGAAACAACACTCCAACTCATCATCAGCAACCCTGACCAGAAATACATCTCCAACATACTCTTCATAGAGGCAAAATTACTCCTCCCCATCAAGATCCTCTTCCAGACATCCTTCATCCCACACCCCCTCCTTCCTTTAGAGAGGTCTTCTTCTGCCTCTCCTCATTTCTTCTTTTAACAATTTCAGAGGCTTTTCTATCAAAAGCTTCACCCACCCAGGAAAAATGATTCCAAAGCCTTGCCAATCTCAACATCCCTCTTCGCAAGTCACTCCACATCCAGACCATCATCCATCTCTTGTATCTTCAGTTAACTTGCTATCTTTCCTTAAGATTCCACTATTCTCATCCTTATCTTTCTCTTTTTCCTTGAATGCTTCCAACCTCCCAACTCTCGATCTCTCCTTGCACACTCACCGCAGAAACAACCTGCCTGTCAACACCATCCCCACCAGACACCTTCTGAATTAGGACTTTCCTGCAAGCCCCTCTTTCATATACCCTCTTATAGTTACTGCAAGGACCAGCACCAACCAACCCATCTTTTAAACAATAAAATACCTTTGCAACATGCACCAACTGAGATTGTTTGAACTTCTAAATTTCTTCACATCAACCACTCCATCAGAGACTGGAAAGACCTTCTTTCTACCCAAATCCACTCCAACCCTTTCAACAACCACCTCTTTAACTAAAAAATTTTCTAAGCTCCTTTGAGAAAACGTGCTATCCTCCACCAATGATGAAAAAACAAAAGAACAAATACCACAGGTAGCCTAAAAGTAACACAGTTGGTTTACTTCAAGAGCTAATAAAACCAATAACTTGACCTATACAACCTAAATAATTGCAAGACTTCCGGTTGGCTTGGTAGATGGAAAGTTATGAGTCTAGCTAATGAGCTGAAAGTTGATGTAATGATGTTCAATAAAGTTCTAGAGGGAGAAAGTTACACATAAAAGAACAATGTTCCCCAAATTAGTCACCAAAACTTTGGTTGTACAAGCACAAAGTGCACAAAAAAAGTGATTAGCGTGTAGTTGCATTTGAGACAAACAACATTGCAAATTATTCTTAGATAAAATTATGTCACAAGACAGACAGAGAAAATTATGTCCAATGATGTTTACTAATTAAGCAATTCCTATAGAAAATGCAGATGGTATATCTTGTTTTGTTTGGGAAGGCCAGTATCTTCAACGAACTTTTGTTTTAGAAAGAAGTAAAARACTCTAAGTTTGCAATGCCTATAATTCAACATACCACAAACCAAAGTCTCCAAAACCATTGTGACCAATAATCAGAGTAGAACAGTTTGGAATTCTTTTCAACTCCATCAAGCAAGGAAATATGCAATCAAAGCTTTGTAAAACAAACTCTTCTACCTGTGCACTGCAAATGTGAATTGATAAAAACAAGTTAGATAATATCAAATACATTAATGTTTCTCAATTGAAACTCAAAAGTACACAGCTGAAAACAGTATGTCACTATTTATAAACACAGAGCATGTGTTGGCTAAATAGAAATAAGCATCAGAGCACACCTTATTTGAATTATCATGTTGCAATGAATGTTTTAAAAGGCATGGGAGGCATAAACCTAGAGGCATGCCTCCAGGTGAGGTGCCCTCAAAATGCCCTGAGGTACATTCTGGAGGCATTGATGCCTCTGAGGCATACACCTCAAATACCTTTTGCATGATGCATGCCAGAGGCGTACACCTCATGCATGCCTCATACAGAAAGGAAGGAAAGCAAAAGGAATGAAAACATCCTACACATCTTGTTACTTTTGCCTTTTTACCTTTATTCTACCTAATTGCTGGTTATTAGTATAAATAGATTGAGAGAAGATCATGTAGGGTATACACTACTCTCATTCTTCTGCTCTTCAACATGAAGACCTCGTACATACAATAACATGATATCAAAAACATCCTAATCCTGACTGTCTGATTTCTCCTCCATTCTCCAATCATATTATTATTTCTTTCCTTCATTAATAAAAATTCCAATATTATTTGCTATCATGTTGCTCCAGGAACTTGCTCTTGTGTGCAGAAACCAATATGGCCATCTGTAGTTGGCACCATATGAACCCCTGTTTGAAGGATACATCTTTCATCTTAATTAATGAGGAATTATGTTGTAGACATAATTAACATCATCTACTAATGTCCATGTGCCTAAAAAATCTACAACATTCTAGCATATAGAATCAATTACCAAAGGTCTTGTCCAAAGATCAATTAGCAAATTTGAGTGTTTGACAATAGAAATATATGGCCACAAGAAGCTAGAAGTGTGATCTGTATGGCCTGATAGGCCTAGCTCCCGATAATACTGAAGCGCATAAAAAACAAGCAAACTATGAACTTTATATGTTTGACACCAAATCACCTCCATGTTGAATTCATGACCCAAACATCCAATCTTCCACTCTCTTCAACAGCAACAAGATGATTTGGTTCACAAACCAGTAAACTTCGGACCCTCTCAATTGTTTTCAACTTGGTCACGACTGAAAAATAACCAATTTGTACACGTACAACTTTAACAGCATTCTCCTCAAAGGAATTTGATGTACAAGCAGAACACAAACAATGAATGCTCTGATCCCTGCAAAAAAAATGCATGTTCCATTAGTACTGGTTTCATTTCTTTGGGTTCATGTAGTTAAGAACTAATATATACAAAAACAAGGAACAAGGTGAGCAACCTGCAAGAAGGTGCCTTGATACTGTTAAGACAAACAAGGCAGTCCCCATCAGGAGTGAACTGAAATCCTTGTCTTTCAAACGAAATCTAGAAAAAGAAACACAAATGTCACATAAATATTACAAGCGCCTAAGCATACTAGCAGGAAATAGAGAGAAAAAATCTCATGAATGCATGTAAGGAATTTTTGAAAACATACTTCTCTACCAAATCTGTCTTTAATAACTGGAAACATGATTGAAGAGTAAGCCACTAAAGAAGGACAACCTCCACCTTGCTCCTTGGTTGAAATCTTGTAGATAAAAAGTGTTCTATCCTCATCCAACAGAATGCCACATAAAACACAAATATGAATAGCATATCCTTTTGTGCTCAAAGCTACAGACAGAACTGGGGCAGGGTGTACATAGCGTCCTACAAGCTCAACAAAGCCCCTTGATTCATTATCAGGTTCTGTCTCCAATTCAAAGCAATTGTCCTTGAACAGATATTTCTGTTGTAACTCACAATTAGAAAGCACATTATTGCAGTCTTGATAATTGCTAGGCTTCGTGAGAGGATCTGGAATATCCTTAAAAATGCATCTGATGTTACCAATGGAGCTTTCCTCTTCCTGTAACCGTAACACGGAATTACTGCACTCTATAAGGTTGCATGGTCCAACCATCTGATTAACAATTTCACATTTTTCTGCGTGTGCAACAGGAGGATCAAGAAAGCTTGAGGTATCATCACCCTTAGCAGCATGAGCAGCAACTGCTTGATTTTGGGATACAGTGGGTGTAACATTGAACAATATGCTTTTGGGTTCACCAACAGCATTTTTGCTGTGTAATTGACTATCTTGTCTGTCAAGTATAATTTCACTGACTACCGACACTTTTTTATTTGGGCCTTCTTCTGGAGCACCAACTTGGCCAGTTTCTGTAGCACACAAATTCATTGTGGCAGGACTTGTCAAAGGAACCAAACCATCTCTGACAGTCCTACAAATTATACTTTCTGAGAGAGGACCATTGTATCCTCGAATTGAAGGTACTACACCAGGTATCTGAATGGAGGCACAACTTGTTGCAGTAGACCCCATTATGTCATCAACTTCCCTCTTGAAAACATGCACAGAGCTTAACTTGCCATCTAAGTTAGCATTTCTTATACTTGTCATATTGGATAACTCACAGCTGTCAGGATTATATTCATTTTCATGGGCATTATAAACGGCCTTATCTAAATGAATGTTATTATTTTGAAATTTTGAAGCTTTAGAGCAGTGTCTGCGATGATATTGGATAATTTTAGTTTCAGAATGTTGACCATTCACAGTTTCCAAATTCTTGGTAGAACCAGAAGATGAAAAAACTTGTTCAAGGAGTGTTGCTTCTGAAGACAAAGCAATCAATTTAGGATCAAGTGCAGTTTCATTATTCCGGAAGCTAAGAACATTTGATGGTTCATTGGTTGGATTTGAATTTGCTACATCAGTTTTTGATGTATTTTCAGCATGGGGAGACTGACCATCATTATACTTGGAAAAGGCCAGCTTTAAGACAGGAGGCCCTTCAATACGTATAGATGCAATTTCAAGATCCTCTATACAACCATCCATCTTGCAATGAATTTCAGTATGTAAAGAACTATTCAAATTCATTGAAGCAACCTTAGATTCTTCAACAAAGATTGGCTTGTTGGGAGATATGTACCCTAAAGGGGGACCAAATGGGAGAACCTCACCCTTCTCCAATCTTTCATGGGTCATGGATACTTTATCATGACAGAATGTTTCCTTGTTGCTACAGTCTCCAAAATGACATATTAAAGAAATTTTCCCATCAAGACTTTGAAACAATTCCAAAGTATGAGGATCACATTTGTCCTTAGACAAAGGTGCTTGATCAGCTTCAACAAAATCAGAACACATTGATCTATTCTCGTTCACCGAAAAATCACACTGATCATCCTCAAAACTGTCTTGTATGATAGACTTAATGTCTTCAGAATTTTTGATATCTGGACATAGAGGTTCACTAATGTGCACATTTTCCTCAGTATCCAAATTGGAACTTTCAACAGGAATTTCAGCTTCAAGCTTACCTGCAAAACATTATTATCAAAAGAGTCAGAGAAACAATAATTACAGGGATGAGGCAGCTCCTCTTTACAAAAAAGTATGGCTATGAATTAAACAATTAAGTATAAAGTTTGACTATATTTTGGTCATATTTTATGGACATGAATTAAACAATAGATGTTATGCTCGTATTTTGAACTGAATTTGATCTAAGCAATTAAGCATAAACAACTGTACCTGGTAATATGTTGGAAAGGTGGTAAACACCACTGTTTTCCTCATGAGATTTCAACGCAATTAAATTTGCAGTARGATCAGTTTCAGTGGAACCCATACCACAAAGAGTGGTTCGTTCCCTCCTTGAGGTCTTCTTGAGTAAAGGAAGAGCTTGTGGTAGCAGGACTGTCATCATTGATTTGGCTACATCTTGTCCAACTGAATCAAAATCACCCTTATCAGAGCTTGCAGTAGAAGATATACCCATTTCTTCTTCTGGGTGTGATTCTATTACTATCCCTTCAGAAACAACTGTTTCTGCCACAATTAGCTCATCTTTGGAATGGCAAGGACTTTGCTCATACATCTCTGGAACAGAATCAACAATATTATCTGCATATGCTACTCCAGTTAACTCATAAACAAAGGATGCAAAAGAATGTGCTTAACCAATGAACAAAGACAGAGGTGGAGCCAAGATCCATCATTTAGGGGGCATCCTATTAGGATGAGGGTCACATCTTATCACTTCCCATATATATGGGTTTTCTCAAATTTTTGGGGGCAAACCTCAGGCTTCACCCCCGATTATAGCTGCTTATGTTATTACCTTGAAGATCCAAAGTGTCAGGGGCACAAAGATCCAAATCCTTAATAATTTCCGACTCCTCCACAAAGATCTCTTCATCATTAGCTGCTGAAGCACCACATTCTTGTATATCAGCATCTGGTAACCTACCAAGCTGTAGGAAATTAAGAATGCTTCTTCATTGACTAAAGAAAAACAAATTTCAAGCAAGACTAAGCCCTGAAAAATTACCCTAAATTATTAAATAAGTAAATTTGTAATTTCAGGTTACTGTGCTAAACATATTAGAAAGAAGCATAGAGTACAGCAAGGTATAATGAAATTCTTGGTAAAATGTTAAAACTCCTAGATTCAAATATTTTGAGAACTGAAGAACTGGAAGTTGTCAATACTACTGAAAGGTTAAGGTTGATGGTATTGAATCATGGTCTTTCTTGGCAGCTTATATTTGTAGACCACTTAAGGAATAGAACTTGATGAGATTACTGTCTTATTTGATATCCTCAATGATGTTTTTTATCCTCCCTAATGGCCTTGGAAACTACCGATCAGCTTGTTTAGTCCCTTAAACTCCCTTTGGCATCTTCTTAGATCTTTCCCCCCCCCCCCCTCTCTCTCTTACCACTAACCCCAAAACATCTACATTCTCAATGAAGAGATTCCGGCTCTCATGTTTCACCTAGGATTTCCTTTGTCCCATAGAAGCTATTTGTGGAAAAATAAACACACTGGATATTTTGTAGAAGAATAAGATGGTTTGCACTTACATCTTTCATTGGGTTTGCATAATGTGCCTTGTTGAACTTCTTCATGGATATGTCTAACCCCCGCCTCCCAAAAAAAAGTGACCCCAGAGATCCTAATTTACATGCCATACCAATGGAATTGTATTGGGCTGGGAGAAAGAAAGAAGCCATATTAGTAGGCCACCATACATGCTGTAACGATCTTCAAGATCAAAAAATTATTGTTTGAGCTATAAGGGGATGTCTATATCTGCCTGATTCTTGAATGTTCACAAGAGATGTTTTCAAAAGGAAGATGAGGGATGACATGAGAAGAAACCTATCAAYAATCCTCCAGTCTTCCCCTGGAGGACCCACACACTGTGCATGTTCACCCTCCCATGGATGGGAGATTCTTTTACATTTTGAAGGTTGGTAAGTCCACAATCCTTGGCTGGAAGGCATTGATGATTTTTTTTTTACAGAAAAGACAACTACCTTTTGGGGGATTTTAGCGATCCAATAGGGGACAAAGACTCTTGAGGCAGAGGTTAGGACCCTACTGAAAGATTTCTGCATTGACGTGCCTAAATCCCCCCCTTAGATATTAAAGAAGACACAACAAGCATTATTCATTGGGCTATTCCGATTCCAACTGTTTGGTTGGGCAGAATCGAATCGGAATCTCATTCCCATTCCTGCTGGAATGGCATTCCCCCATTTGAGGGAATGGCCATTCCCTGCCCCTCCCTTGGGAATGAAATCCCATTCCTCCCGATTCTAATTTCCATTCCCATTTCTGTATGAACCAAACAATGGGAATGGACCATTCCGATTCCAATTCCAACTGCGAACCAAACGGACCCTAAGATTTTTTTTTTATCAATGGAGCTTCTTTTAAATGGGTCTTGTGAATTTGTGCACAACCTCTTTTTCTTTAACCTTTTCAAAAAAGTTAATAATACCAAAGCTTATGACCATGTTACTAATTTCGGATATCTAGAGGCAACAAGCACATATATTTATATTGTAACTAACAAAGATATTAAGGAAATAACCAGGCAAAATATTTATAAATGACTTGGCTCATGCTTACAAGTTTCTCCTCTTTGGAAAACTCATCAACCACATGGGTGAACCTGCAATGATCAGGACTATCAAGCCTGCTCTGCTCAAGGGGAGTTATGACTTTCACTGCAAGTTGGTCACAAAACTTAGCATATTTTAAAATCAAACCATTCTCAACTGTAGATGGATCAACCGCTGTGTCACCTGTAGTTTCAAGGTCCTCTGGCACTGGCAATGCTCCTGGATCTGTACATGTTTCACTTTCACAGTCATCAGATGAACTATAGGAAGCAATATGCGTCTTGCCTTTATGAAGTTTACAATTACCTTGTCTAGGAAGTGCAGCATCAACATTGTTTGAGAGGTCTTCAGGCCGGAGTTTTTTAGGGCTAACCTCACCGATCATATCCACAGCCTTAACTTTCTGTTTCCTACTTCTCTCTTCAGTAGTCTGTGGCTCATCAAAGTATGGCAGCAGGTCAGGGTATGTACATGAATTTGGTGATCTTGTTTCACACACTAGTGCAGTAGCTCCATTGCAGAAATTGGGGGAAAACAAACTCGGTTCTGCCATTCCATTGACATCTGCCACAAGCTCTCGGAGCAATCGCTGGACAAATGGATTTCTAAACCCAAAAAGCTGCATGTCATAGTAAGGAAAAGCACAACTATCATGATAGTGAATATGATTTCAAAACTGGATATTTGCAAGTAATATCTTTGGCATTTAGATAACCAAGCATCAAAGAAAAAGCTGCAAACATATAAACAACTTAACTAGAAGGGCCATTACCCAATACTGGTCCCATCTAAGATCTTGGGAGGGGTGCACAGACCTAATCTCCGGCATTTTTGCACTAAGTGGCTGCTCTCATGCTCCAATTTATGTTATCATGCTTGTCAGCCCAATTTTATGACACAAAAATGGGGCCTAAGACCAATGTATTTTTTCCTTCTCTCTTTTTTGTTTTGCTTTTTTTTTCTTTTTTGAGGAGGAGCTGCGGGAAGGGATCATACTCTGCATGGCTCCAAGAGAACTTTATGATACATGGGATTTATGCATGCAACAAACAATGTTGTGAAAATCATAGGCATAAACATAAAGGTTGAATTGATCAAATTGTAAATTGTGAGATTATTCTGCTTTTAGGTATTTATCAAAAATTGAAAATATATACAATAAAACAAATGGAAAATTAATTTTACCACATAGTCATCTAGGTATATCTTACAAAATAGTGTCTTAGGCAATTTAGTCCAGAAATTACAAAGCTTCAAAGAACCATCAAACAAAAGGGTCGAAGACAAGCTGACTAATGACATCAACAGCAATGCAAGTTCGTGTCATTAAGATAGCCTCTATCAGCAATTCAGTATAAAGTATGATTATATTTAGGTCTTCCATCAATTTCTGATACTTGCAAGTCAACTCTAGTGGACTCTAGTGGAGTTTTAATAGCCGGATCATCAATTATCTCCAGTAACCGTATAGATGGGAAAGGTATTTGTACAATTTTCCTAGTCATTTCCCCAAAAAAAAATCAAAAGAAAACTAAATAATCTGAAGTTCCAACCAAAATCTGAACTGAAAGAATCAGGCCCAGCTCAACCACCATCAGTTAGAAAACTTCAACATTGCCTAATATTTCAAGAAAATTACATTTAGCAGTTGATTGATTACTTGCAAACTTGCATACCAAAAGTCTAATACCAGCAAATTAACATAGCAAAACGAGATTTATGAACCCTGATAGACTGTTAATATTGAAAGCTCACAAGAGGCAAGAGCAATAAAGGATTACTTCTACACCATCTATTTTGCCCGAAAATCTCTTTGCATGCCACATCTTTATTCGTGGGCCACTTTGCTTCTGAAAGTGATCCCAAGCAATACCTGGAGTCTGTCCAGAACATGATTGTCCATCTGCAGAAGTGATCTACATGCAAAGTAGCAATTATTTTGTTAAATCATGATGTAGCCAAAAGCTATCATTACAAACGAAAGGCAATTGAGCCTGAAAGCATACCACAAACAAGGGCCCTTTAGGACCTTCTTGAATTTCCATATTGTATGTACTCCCACCGTGAGTCCAAATGGCATGGTAACCAACTGGATAAGGATAGCGGTCTTTACCCTGCAAAATAACAAATGAACTACAGAACTTCCACACTAACATCATAAGAGACAAGCAGAGCACACGCATACACTATAGAACTAGGAAACAAGAAAGAAAGTTTATCATGCATGTATGTATAGAGAGAGAGAGAGAGAGAGAGAGAGAGAGAGAGAGTCTGAATAAGGTTGTGCCTGGGTATCAGTTCATGTAATGTAGTGGCAACTGGCAAAATCAATAATAGGGCCATAACATAACACCACCTGGATCACCATGGAACAAGGTAACTTAATAAGTCTATCCACGTGAAGGATGGAAATTCTCAGGGACTATAAATAGACCTAGTGAACCAATTGACAAGCGTAAATCCAGCTCTRTCTACATTTCGTGGACAACATAGCAACGATGCAGAGTTGCAGACCATCCAAGATAACACGTCTTATATGTTTACACTCCCGAAGATTTCAGCAACAATGTATGCTGACCATTTGGTCAAATATGTGCAATGGCTCAGAAACGATTCCAGCTAGAAACCGGGGGCATATCGCATCCAACCGGTGTTCCAGAAATTGAAGAGCCTTGGCTTGATTTTGAACATCAAACACACCCTAGAAACAAGGGCATTTCTTATAATCAACAGTTCAACACCAATGTACAGACTGAAATATATAAGAAGAGAATTAACTGGAGATGATCTACATTCACTAAACTTTCAACCTCAAACTCTGAATAGCCAAAATATGTTCAGAATCATTTGAAAGGAAGCCTTAGGGATAAAATAGAGGTAAGAAAAACCTGAGAAGCAACATTACAGGCGATAGTTTGTCTAATAGGAAGAATAAAATTATTTCTAATGCGACTGTGAAGTTATATGAAGAAAACCAAAAAAAAAAGGAGAGAAGATTAGTAGGAAAATCCGAACCCTAGAGCTGCTCCAGTACTTCTTGTCCCAAGGCCCTTTGTAGAGTGTCCCAATTGAGATTATTTCCAGTCCGTCAGGTTTCTCTCCGTTGTTGTTAGGGTTCTCCATCAGAAATGAAGAAAGAATGTGATTCTGATGTTAACAGAGTAGAAAACAGAAGGAGATATTAGAAATGGAAATGGAAAAAGAAAGATTAAAAAAAAGAGAGAGAAAAAACACGAACGGGGACTGAGAAGCCCTGGAGTATAAATGGCGGGAACGAAACTCGCGTGCGCGACTGCGCGAGCGGCAGGGTTCTTTTGAGGGTAAAATACAAAAACCTCCCCTCCAGTTTATGATAATAATAAAAACCTCCCATATAGTTTTATTTTAACAAATACTTCCCTTAAACCTTTAAAAAAGTCAACAAAAACCTCCCTTCTTACTGACCCGACGGAAAATTATAAAGTTACGAAATTACCCCTATTATACATCAATGGCTCTTCCACCTTCTCCTTCCTATCCGATTTCACAAACTGGGTTACATCAAAACCACAAATTTTTATTATCTCTCACAATCACAATAGCGTTATAACCGTCTCCAGTACTTTCACCAAGCCCAAGCATAGGCTCCTCCTCGCAACTAATCTTCAACAAGTATCCGCTTCTCTGCAATTGATGAACTCCCACAAATAACAAAGCTCTACGGTTATTCCATGCTACATCGCCTTTCCATTCCTTCAAGTCTTACCATCGACATGTATCAAAAGAAATGGATACTGATTAATTCTTAATTCACAATACTCCCTCTTGCTTCTTTATCATGTTTGATGAACTTTTTCTTTCTCCACTTTACTACCGAAGTTCCACTGCGACTTGCCTCCAACGACAGTATTCGCGTATGAGACCTCCTAAATGGCCGCTATTGCTCCCAGTCCCACAATCGAGACTCTCTCGAATAACCTAACCACCACTGTTCCCCGGTCCTATGATTGAGACACTCTAAGGAGTACCAACTTATGTGATGTGGCAAAATCACATACTCCCATGGGGTCGAACCATCCCCACTGCCTTTCCCAAGAACGGTGGCGTTCCCACTGTCGTCCATCTTCACGGCGGTGTCCACAAGCCACAAAGTGACGCCAGCAGCACCTTTGCCTAGTTCACCTCCAACTTTAGATACACCAGACCCGCCTCATCCTAGCAGATTTACACACTTACCCCAACGTCCAATAGTCTGGGAACCACAGGTACCACGATCATGCGCGCGCTTGTCTCTGTAATGACAGATGAGCTTCAAGAAAGCATCATTTTCTTCCTGAATTACAGAAGAATAAATCAAAGAAATGCCAAGTGGGGAAGCTAAAGAGGAAGAAGGGAAGATAAGTGTGACATCTAATCGCACGATGAGACCAGATTGATATATACTTCTGATAAACAAGTGAAGCTTGTCATTTGTAACGTCCTCTGTGATATGAGCGACAACAAGGTCACTCATTGCTCTGGTTCCTCTCCTAAACAAAGTTTTCATTCTTTGCAGAGTAGCCAAAGAATCCCAAACCCCAGCTTTAGTTGTTGTTCTTGGCCTTGGTAGAGATGCCACCAATACCCAGGTTAGAATGGGTATTTGAAAACAAAATGATGCATCAACTTAACGTTTTTCGTCTAAATTAGTGATGAAAGGGTGGTATTTGTTGATTTTTTCAAAATTTCAGGAGAAGTATCTGTTAAAATGAAACTAAAGGGAAGTTTTTTTTTATTGTCAGAAACTTAAGGAGGTTTTTGTATTTTATCCTTCTTTTTATTCTCGTTTTTCTTTTCCCGCCAGTAACTCTCACGCTCATGGAGCACGGTGTCCGTGCCCGTGACGGATAGAATTGCTCTTATAAAATGGATGGAGTCGATGGACAGACAGAAACTAAAAATGCGCCGTTGCCGGGGACCGAACCCGGGTCGCCCGCGTGACAGGTGGGAATACTCACCACTATATTACAACGATCTCATTAGAACATAGTTTTACCATAAACTATATAAAAAGCTGTACATGTGATAAACTTGGCAGTTCAATTGCACAGTTAGCTTAATGAATGGTCCCAAGTCCTTGATTCAGCGATTTAAGCACCTGGGTCAACGATGGTTTAATAACATTGAGCACCATATGCAAATGCAACAACACGCGCAAAACCAAGATTTTTAATTAAGGGGTCAAAAGGTAATGAACACGAATTAGGGGATAAAACAACGTTTTGAAACCGCTGTTGACCCGGATGGTCAGTCTGTTCGGCCCAGGAATCGTTCAAGCAACTGGTTTYGTTTTATCCAAAATCCAGAATCTGGTCAAAAACCATTGAAAAAGTCAACAAACCATTGACTCGGATAGTCAACCCATCGATTCATTCAACGGTTTTTGACCATTTTTTTATTTTTTTAATTATTTTGAATTTTGCTATTAGAACGAGTCGTCCGTTCGAACTGGACGGTTGGACCGTTGACCCAGAAATCGGTGCCCAGAACAGCTCCATTTCTAGGTCGTTTTTTAAAACGTTGGGATAAAAGTTGATAAAACATGGATAAAGGGGTTAAAATATAAATGAGATATAAACAAAATAAAAATCTATGATATTGGAAAGACATCGTACAAGAATAGTTTTGACTAATCCAAAATCCACCTGTAAATTTTGATAAATGATAAATATCACCTGATTGGTTTCTACGTTTATGATACTGATTGATTGATTACAAAACTTTCAAATATTCATGTTCTTCCGATATCATAGCCAAACCCATAAAGGGAGATTGTGAGGATTTTTAAGGCATGGGCAATAGAGGAGTAGAGGACTATGGCTCCCCTCCACCACTCCTGCCAGTGCCACAAGTGGTTTAAAATCACAACTACAAACTTGGGCAGATTCAAACAAGAATCAAAGCATCTATATGTATCTAACGCATCATATCGGTTTTCAGGGCCCCGATGATTTAAATATTTTGAGTTTGGTGATTCCAATGGGTTTTAAGTGCTAATAACTGATATAACATGTCTCCCATCAAAATATGGAATTACCAAACAAAAAAACTTAAAAAAAAATAAAAAGAGAGTTTCGATGGGAATTATGAAGAGTATCGATCCTTTGAAGCTTGGGTTCAAGTATTATCCATCATAGCAAGGCCCCATCTGGCCTAATTTCAGAAAATTATGGCGTCTTTTCACCGACAATCAGAAATGAATATGTTTTTTCAAAATCCAGATGGATAAAAATTCTGAATCTTGTGTAGAATGCAAATGCAAATGCAAATATATAGAATATAAAACCTTATATTTTGTATTATTTTCTATATATTTGCACTGTACATATTTATATTTGTACTCTTTCCAAAATGGGCCGTAATGAATATTTCTCGCATCCCACAACTCGATAAACCAAAGTAACAATAACAAGGGATGTAAATGCAATGGCTGATATGATGCTGCAGGCTCTAGTAAAATGTAATAACAAAAAGTCTTTGCATTAGGCTTGAATCGTTGTTAGCTGCAAATAAACAATTACTGTGATCATGTAAATGGACAAAATACAAAACCAAAGTGAATTTGCACTCCAGTTTCGTTTTGCGGGTGTCTGATAAGAATACGTTTTTTGTACCAATAATGAAAATTAATATATTTTTGCATTCAAAATGGGAAGCTTAACCTTTGAAATTCATGTTTACACCCATTGCAACTAAACAAGACACTGTAAATTTCTAGTACAAAACTGAATTGGGCTTGCATGCACCAATCAAATAAGTGCGTATCCCTCAAATATTTACAGGAGTTTGAACCAACTCATATGTCTCCGACCGTCTGAAATAGCATTACAATAATCTTCAAATTGAATATATTGCAACCTTTCAACAAATCAGCCTCATTATTATCGCCATAGCTGATAGAAAAGTGAAACCAAATCAGGATTTGGTCACACATGCATTTCTTTTTTCAGCTTTAGAAATGGAGAAAATGAACATACAATTCTTAAAATCCCAAGACAACTCTTTTAACTCAAAATTTCACAAAACCCTTATGATTCTTCTGCAATGATCACTAATTCACAAGGACACTCATGAATGATCTTTCACCAGGCAATTCCTCAACATTTAGATAATACAAGGTGGCTTTGGTCTTTCCAATGAACAGTATTCCATAAATTAAAGGAACAAAGCCAAGCAACTTGCCTGGTATCCCGGATTTGTGATGACATAACACATGATAACAAATAAACGATTATCAACTTTCCTGACATGGAGAGGTATGATCTTCTGTTTTCTGACGCTTAGGTTCCTGCTCATCTCTTTCTTCATGACTATTACTTCCATTAACTACATGTGGACCCAACAAAGATGCATGCTTACTTGTGATCTGACGGCCTGCTCTAAGCTTTGGTCCCCAGTGTCTTTCTGGATTTGGAAGGAAACGTGCTACTTTTTTGACTTGGGCTTTGCTAAGGGAGGAAACCGCTCGAGCAAAATTGGCCTGCCAACAAAAGGACACAGATAAGAGTGGACAATGTAATTTTCAATTCAATTTCAGCCGAAGTTTGATGTAGAGTTAACTCTCAAGTTGGTAATTCCACTGTTTTTTCTCCTCCATTTGGCATTTGCTCAAGATTTCCATTACATTCAATTATTTCTAGTTAGCAACTCCACTTCTTTCTCTCTATGGATTCCATTAGGCTCAATTTCGTAGCTATTTAAATTTCTTGTGCTTTCTCTCTGAATTTTAGACCAGCTACCTCAATAATGAACGAAAAAGGCTCTACTTGATGGAAATGATTAATTATCAAGTTGCATTCAATAGAAACTACAATCACAAAATTCTTTTTTCAGTATGCCACAGTAATTCAGGCTACGGTAAAGTACAAATAACAGAAAATAGGGAAAAGAAAACAGTAAAGTAGGACAAAATAGGAAAAAAGAATGACTCCAGGTGGGAAAGCTCAAGACACACCTGCAATGTTGGTTCCTTGGAAAGGATCACTGTGCCTGATTGATCTGGTGGCTGAGCTTTTACTGGATGATTCTTGACCTACATCAGTAAGCCAATCATTAAATCACTATTTAAATCTTCAAACCAACTTACTCCAGCACATTAGTCAATACACTACACTGCATTATCAAATAAGAGAAAACTTTAATGCTACAGAATATTGAAAACATTTAGAGATCGTTTTATGAGCACGAAAAGAGAAATCAGGATCCATAATTCCATGTTCACAAGGGTTTGGCAAAAGTTTTAGTGTCATCTGCCAACCTCACAGTCTCATAAAATCCTCCTTTATTTGGGATAAGGCATGGATGATGATGATGATCATTTTATCTTTTAATATTAGACAAAACAGATAATATCTGGAAAAGGCTGGTGTTATTAACTGGTTAACAAAGAGTCTGTCCATGGTGGCAAGAAATGATCCCTATGTTGTTTAGACATATACCAAATACCAACTAAACAGAGCATCACATATTGATTTCATGTTGGAAAATCTCCCAATGCTTGTCATTTTCCCTGGAATCAATTGATATTATATGAATACTGATTGAGAATGCAAAATGTCATATTAATTTGTTGATCAGTGGTGTTTCCATTTAGAACAAATTGCAAAAAGGCATGTCGTAATTACCCAGCAGCGCATAATATCCCAAATAACATCCATGGGAGCATCTGATTTCAAGCCCAATGGATTCACATGAGTTCCAGAGATACGATATCCTGCATTAATCACTGCAGAACGGAACACAACTGCTGAAGGAGATGTGCATTTCAGTGTCCCACAGAGGCTGTGCAGACTCACAAAGAGAGGAACATCAGGCAACTCCTGCAGATAAAATGTAAATAGGAATGAGATACAGCCCTATGAAAGTTAACTCAGCCTTATTCGTAATTCCCAACTATTTGGGATTGGCTAACAAGTCCTATGAAAGTAGAAGACTCATACCATTCTGCTAGGGATCCAAAGAACTGTAAAGGAAAAAAAAAATTGAACAAAATCTGGATCATCCAAATTGAAGTGCTACCTATAAAATTTACTCATTGCCCCAAAACAAGAGCAATTATATGCCACATGTGTTGTTCCAGAACTGTCTGAAAAGAAGGCTCAACACTATATCAACACAACACATATTCTCATAACCACAGCCAGTCAATAGGAATTGGCAACGGGGCGGGGTGGGGGCAGGTTTTGCGTGCCCCATCCCTGACCCTGAATTCAAATACCCCGCCCTGTACCCCAACCTCAACTCCATCCCTGTAGAGAACGGGGATCCCCGAATTTGCCCCGCCCCGCCCTGGTCATTTCTAATTGCATATCTTGTTTTTTTTTTCTTTTTTTTTTTTGAAAGCTACCTCAAGGGTTGGGGCATTCAAATACCATCCCTGCCTCAAACCCGATCAGTGGTCAAAAAAACCTGCCACAACTGGGGTGGGGCGTGTCGGAGCCCCAACAGGTCATAGAGCAAAGTATTGTCTGTCTGTCATACCAAACCTTATAAAAGGTGGTTTCTTGGATCAGCAAAGGTATCTATTTAATGGCAGAGATTAAAATTCTCCTTATAAGGCGAAAAGGGCACGTAAAATGGAAAAGACTTTTTATAAGAGATCTTCAGAGAATAAAACACAACATCAGCCTACAAAAAATAATAAATTGTTGTAGTACCTCAGATATTGTCGTCAGTACAGCAGAGATTCGATCATAGGCAGGATAGCGGTCCTTCATGGATTTAACATTTGCCAATATAGAAGTTACCCATTCTTGATCATGGATGGGGGCGGACCATATGGGTCCACCCATGTTGAACTTCTTCCCACAGTCGCTGCACTCTTGAGGAACTGCAGGACCAAACCCCGGTAGATATCTGACGCTGTTATTCTTTGTAATGAGATAAAGGAGGAGAAAAGAAACAACAATTAGGTTTACATACAATTAAAATGTAGCAACTGAATCAATTAAAATAACTGAAGAACACCATTCATCAACATAACTGAAATTCTTTGAACTTCTTTTGGTGTGGAAAAATTAGTGTCCAACACAGCCCAAACAAAGCCAGCCCTTGTATCTTCATTCATTTTTTTCTTATTGTTTCCACCTGCCATATACACCCCCTAAAGACACACAAAAAAGGATCCAACAACTAGTTTTCTATCACACTAATTGTTCCCACAGGTCTTGCATCCAAACCCAAGATTCACAATGTCTGGATTGTATGATGGAAGCAGACTAAAATGAATGATTTGTCACAGAATTCAACCACCAGGAAGTGGACCATCCACAGTGCTGAAAATTGTAAAGCTAAAGATGATTATCAAAAAAATTTTAAAGCTAAACATGAAATCACGTTGCTTTTCTTTCAGACTATTTTTTAAGGGTCAAAACATGTTCTTTTCACATAATTTGTGCCACTGGGTAGGTGATTGAGTTATCTATCAACAAGACTCCTGCGAACCTGGCATGTTTTAGTTATGACCATCTTACTGATAGGGGTATCAATCTTTGATGGAATTTTAATTTCTATCTTTTGTGTTAATCTTTGAGTTGCTTTTGGTTTGTTTTATTTAGTTGGATTAGGATGGGTATTTAGAGTTGTTCTAAGAGCTAGAGTCCTTACTTGAGTTTCTATGGGTTTTGCTAAGAATTAAAACAATTTAGAAACTGTTTTTAGTCAATTGCTTAGTTGAAATTGGAGTGAACAATGAGATATCTGAACCCCTATTTTTAAGTCTATAAAGAGTCATGTAGTTGAAATGTAAAAATTGATTTGAAGTACATATGGATAAGAGTATGGTTGTTTTTTATCAATCAGTATGGTTGTCTTTTCTACCTCTCCTATCTTTTTTTCTTCTAAAGGTGCAAGCTTTGTTCTCATTCTTCTTTTTGTCTTCTATATTTCAGATCTGAATCTCTTCCTGACATGAATTTTTTTAATAGTTCTCTTCCTCGCATGACCCACATCCTTAATTTCTCTTCCCTACACACCACGTACACCACAGTAGGATTTTTCTCATTCCTCTTCGATATCAGCATCCTAGTTATACAGCTGTATATCTTGATTAATTCTCACCAATCACCGATGAAAAAAAACTAAGGGTATATATCAAATAAGATGAATACCTTGGTGACTGTCCTCCCAAGACACTGCAGATGAAAAGAGTCACACCCAATACACTGATAGACATACGAGAGCTTAAGAGGGGTATTCTTCATTGCACTTGCAGACCTGCAAATCACACATTTGATGCATTTTACATTGTTTTAGGAATCAAGAAGATGATAAGAAGACATCATTCTATTTTATCTTCTGTCTTTTTTTTAATCAGTCATCATTTTATCTCATAAGTACGCCAAATAGCTAAAATCATGCTAACTCTAAAGATGATAAGAGACCCACGTGAATATGCGCACAAAGACACGAACATAGAAATCCATTTGTACAGAGAGGACAGGAACAATATATCTCTTATAGCGGTTTGCATGGCTCTGCATTAAAATAAGCAAGAAAGAACAAACAAATTAAAACCATAACTGTAATTGGAAATATTGACAAAGGCCACTTGGATGTCAAAGGAAAAAAGGAGAAAAAGAAAAGGTTTTAATCTGACAAATGCTGTGTTTATTTTTTATTCATAAAGATAAAAAAAAAAAATCAAAGAAATCAAAGAATAGAATAATTTTAAGCAGTAAGCGGTATGTTTCACGTAAGTAAGGGAGGTTATGACAAATAATATGTCTAATCATGCTCATGCCAAAACCTGAGAAATACTAAATTATGGAAGTTTGTAGAAGGAATCATATGTCTTTTCCCTCTAGTAAATGATGTATCCACCATTCAGACAAATTTATTCAAAGAAAGCTTCTTCAAGGAAATAAAATTACCTCAATGCAGGCAAGTAGGATCCTCAGAGCCATTTCATGGCAATACTTTCCTCTCAATGGATACGAACCATATCTAAATTGAGCAATCAATTATAAGAACATAGAAACAGTGAGCAGTGAAAATTGGTCTACTTGAAGATAAGGAAGCATAAATCCTCACTTGGAATAGCAAACCTCTCCATTGCCCCCACAGAGCACTGCCATATCAGTGGCTGTGCACATCAACATGCCTCCATCTACAACAGTTTGAACCGCAGAGTCCAGGAACACAGAAGGTGAGCCATAAGGATCAAGATCAACCTGAAATACCAGTCACAGAGAATGAAACCATACACCAGCTTTGTGATATATTCTAGTATATGAAAGGGCCAATCAACAACATTTGGGGAGGGTAGGAGGGGGGAGCTGAAAAGTATGACAAGTAATAGGAAAAGAGGAAATGGCCTCCATACCATGAAATTGGTAAGAAAGAGGAAAGATGGATATTCGTCATAATTGATTAATCAGTGGATAAGGTGAACCTTTTCCCCTGTTCCTATGTTCAGAATGTGCAGAAGAAAGCACATCTTCTAGGAAACTCCACAGTTACAAATGTGATACCATAGACAGTACATACCACATCAAATTCTTTCTGGTGGGTGAGCATAAAAACACGAGCATCAGCAAGATGAGATTCAACCTTTGAACAAGCCACTGAACCATTGAATCTTATGTTTCTCTTGCAAGCTTCAACAGACACTGCAAAGAAGATACTATGATTCATTTTTAAGCTCTTCATTTCAGGCTTTCAGCAACAGATAAACTATCAAATAATTTATGATATAATGCAAATATCAGAATGCAGGACAAAATGATAAATGAAGGTATTCCAAAAGACCCTAGTTTGGGCTTATGGAAATTTAACTTCACTTACATAAAAAAGGAAACCAAGTCTTAAATGTCACTTCCATTAGAACATAAGGCTATCTACTCTCCAGGTCAGCCCAACAGACCTGAACATATCAGACCCTATTATCTGGATCAGCATTTTGAATCCCAATTACAATGGCATCAGGGTTGGTTTTACCTGTTCCAACCTGATTAAGACCTAAACCAATCATCTGTTTGTGTATATTAGCATATGGCAAAGATACCAACAGTGTTTTATATATGTTTCTCATGGTTTACTTGTAATAACTTAATATAAGATTTCTAAAATTGTCATTTTATAGGAATATATAAGATATTTTGAGAAGAGAAAGACTACAGAAAGAGAACTAGATGGTTTATTTTCAAATTATCAAGCTAAAAGGCTGTCAGTAATAATCAGTCATATCATGTCAGAATTGATTAGACCAAAATAAAGACAGGGTCAGTTCTGGTTCTATTGCTTCAAGATCCTGAAGGACCTGGTTTGGGAGCATGTTTGCCTTTTTTCTTTTTTTTGTAATATCAATTCAGGACCGGGTCTACACTTATTCAGCCCAGACCTGGCCAATTGGGAGCCCTAATAAGAATGCATGCATCATCATTGTTAATCAGTTTACCTGAATGTTCTGCATGAGCTCCTTGGTATAAGGAGCAAAACTGAATGCTTTCTAGAAAATATTGGATTGTAAGATCTAACATATTAACAATTTCAAGTTACCTTTGTCATTGTCCACAGCTACAACCTGACCAATTCCCTCTACTTCACGTGCATATCTTATAGATCTTAACCCAGATGCAGCCAAAGCCTGCAATTTCATGAAAAATAAACCAAATAGATAAAATTAATAACCCAACCAATTAGAATTTACAGTTCCACCACAGTATTTCCACACCATCATATCTAGACATTCAATTAACAAACAATTGTAGTACACAAAATGCTTATAGATAAGCAGTGCAATAATAAGAAAGAAAAATAAAAGGCAATTCAAGGTCAAAAGAAACCTCAAGAACTCTGGGTGGCTTCAGTTGACCACGACCTTTTCCCTCTGTAAGCTTGACTGCTTCTTCTGGGCTGGCATGTGGTTCATCTTCAGGTGGCTCCACCAGAACTTCACATTCTCCATTTGATTTCTCACTATTGGAAACAGGATCATCAGTTGCTTCTTCTTCTACATGTCCAGCAGAAGCCTCCTCTGACACCTCTGGTGGTACCTTGGCCCTTTTACTGGACATTGCTTCATGTTCCTCCTTACGTTTAGATATAAAGGTCCTCAGGACAGCAATGGATAAGTCTCTATTATTAACCTGATTATTTTAGGACAAAAAGATTAGCTCTTTTCACCCCCAAAAGAACTGTAACAGCCAACTGACAAGGGGAATATTTCTTTATTCCCCAAACACCATTGCAAAACAAATGGTGTTTCAAACCATGTGAAAAGGGAAGAAAAGAAAACAAGCTTGGATGCGATACTTTTTTTATTGGTAAGTATACTATATTACAATAACCAAACAAGTTCTTATAGAAAAATAAAAAGCGCTGCAGAAGCACTGTTAATAGGGAACCTTAAACCAAGAATAATGTGAAGAAAGAGACCATGGGATTCTGATGAACCAAATTTGATAATAAATACTCTAATACAATGACACTAAACAGATAAACGAGAATAGCTTTTAATCGAAATTATAGGAAACCATCCAAACTACCCAAGTAATAATAATTGGTGAATGATATTCTAATATTCTTCTTGAGGTAATTATCCAACTTTCCATAAAGTATCAATCCCTCCACTTTTTCTGTTGGCACAAAATGTAAACAGCACACGAATTATACATATCATGCTTTGGAAGGACAATCATATCTAGGTTGTTCATGTAAGATCATCTTTTTTTTTTTTAATGAGTTCATATAAGATCATCTAATTGGTTATTAACAACGCTAGTTGATGTGATTCCTTTCAACTTTTGCAGGGGAAAAACTATATGTATCCTCATAGCATTACCATTTGGGCCCTATTTTATAATCCTGGTGAGTTTTGCATCTTTGAACACATTTCGTCATTTCCATATAGAACGTTCCCCGATAAGGTGACAAGTAGAAGCTAATGTTTATGATATAACACTTGGCAAGAAGACTCAAATTTTGCATGAGAAAGACCCCTGGTGGAAAATTAAAAAACAAAACAAAACAAAAAGATCTAATCTAACTACATTCAATTGTACTAATTTCAGAATCCGACCATGAACCACTTCAGTATACACTTGAATTATGAACATGAGCACCAGCACAAGCAAAACAAATCCATTATTCCCATGGGATTTTGTTTCTCAAAACTTATTCCCTAAAATCTTAAATATCTTGAACAAATAATTGGATCATAAATTTCAACGATTTCCACCATTGTGAAATCAAAAGATAAACATGCAATTAAGCATGAAAGAAACGCATAAAACGGTCAATTCTAAACCAGTAAGAGAACCCAAAAGAGAGAACAATACCTGGGTTTTGTTATAGAAGACTTGGTTTTTGGCGTGCATAAGGATTTCAGCCTCTCCTTCTTTGATGATGGTGTAATCGTTAGGATCAGTAGAAATTATTCTATCATTCGATTTCTGATGTTTCTCACCTCCTCCTTCACCATCACCCATGGCGTCGAACAATGAACGAATATTGTTTTTTCTTCTGCTCCTGTAATTGCTTGTTTTGGCACGGAGGACAATAAGATGAAGTATCTCCTGTAATTGCTTGCAGATTTTGTTGACGAATCTAAAGGATTCGCTGGTATACTGCTAAATGTTTATATATGACACGATAAACCCTTACTATTTATCCCTCGAGTCRAGTGTGCTTTTGTTAAACCCTACCAGCCTTTGTTACGTCTTTACCTGCAAATTGCAATTTCGTGAGACTCGGACCGGAAATCGAGTCACTGGTGTTAGCGGTTCATGGTTCATCTTTCCGGTTTATCATTGGTTGGATCGAATCACTGGTATCCAAGAAGCAGCAATCCTCCGACCCCAAGCTAGATATAACAATTCCTGGGCTGAGCCTGAGAAGCAGGTTCAGGCCCACTGGACTGTCTCTCATATTAGTTAAGATTTACGGCAACGTTTTAAAGTTGGACCTAACTGGGACATGGGAGAGAAACAACTAGGCTAGTCGTTGGGCTCGGTAAAACCATGYAGGGAAACACGTACGAGATGTGTATCTTGCTGCAAGGCCAAAAAACGCGTTAGGCCCATTATCCATTCCATCACAATTGTAGGGAGGTCGGATCTGCTTCAAATGAAATATGTTTCAACACGCTTTTAACATGATCTGACACCACACATCTCATATATGATGGGTGTAAGTGCTGTGGTGAGATGAAGTAGGACAGTCTTTTTAAAGGATAAAGAAGGATTAGGACTAGGGCCGCAAAGGGGGATGATGGGTATGCTTTTGCCTATTGGGAGTTTCAACAGAGCCGGGCARGCTTTAAGGAAAATGATCCAAAAAGTATTCGAGTCTTGTTTAGGAAAGAGAATCATTGTCTTTATATTGATTATCAAGAAAACACTATCAAAATTTTACCATGTGTCCAACCAAATCATTTAAAAATAAAGCTTTCTTTTTTCTAAGGATTCTCGTCTGACACGTACAAGCTACATCCCATCATAGGTTTTCTCGTGGCCACGTAGCAAAAGCGGGACCTAAGTCTGACTAGTGTTTTTGGTTATGCGCTGCATTGCTCTCGAAGCGCAGTGTCATGAATTCCTCAAGTTTCAAGTTAAGGACGGCTCTTTTCTTTGGATTCATGGCGGATTTAAGATAGTCTTTTGAGTTTGTAGAAGGCCTGAGATGGCTTGTGGTGCTGTTTTGATGTCTTTGCCACTATTACGGCAATTCACGACTAGATGTACTTACAATGGGTGTTGGTACTGACAAGATGTTTTGACACGCTTCCAACATTTGGTGAGATATTCCCAATGTAACAATTGCAATGGTTATTATGGATCGGTTGTTGTTGAGCTCTAATCAATGAATTCACCTTAAATTTATAAGGGAACAAAATCATGTATTTTAGTTTTGTTTTTAATAAATCACTAAATTTATATTTTCCGCTGAGATTTTGAGACCTAATAACAGTTCTAAATTAGAAAAAAATATAATGGATCTTATGTGTTTTTTAAGTATAATTTTGTCTCATCATAATTCTAACTTGATAAAGGGTGATTTGGTCCTCCAGATATCACGACACATTGTACATTGCACTACATAACTATCCATTGGCATCTCGGCACCATGCAAGCAAAACTCGAACACCTAGCATCTATCTCAACCTTCCTGGCCCCACCTTGATAGGACGACATACGAATAGCTTAGGAGATGTTAGGTCGGCGTGAAGAGGCAATTTGCCTCCACCAACCTAACCTGGACCCAATTAGCGACATGCCTGATGTGACGAGCGACTTACTTCTTGAGCAGATAATATCAGCTTACGCGGAATCCGTCTCCAGGCATGGAACTACCTCTGAATCAAATGGGTCGGAGATCTCGAACACATTTCGTGGAACTCACGACAATTAGCCTATATACAAGCGTCCTCTTCCTCATAAAAGGTATGTGCAATTTGGCCCTCTAGTTTCTTTACAATAAAATATTAACTCGCTAACTTAAGCATTAGAGTGCCCATCCTGAGTCAAGCAATCTAAACATTCTAATTTATTCTTTTTACAGCTCGACCAGGTGACTTCATTGGCCCAATATCTGAGTTGTTTGCCAACAAGGAATGCTAGATTGCGCAACATCAAAACCAATTACTCTAGTTTGTTTTTTAATGGTGGGGGCATTGATGGAGTCAATAAATTAAATACATGGAAAATACACAAAATGGGGTGTATATGTTAATATGTGCAAATTAAAAAGCCAAAAGAAAATTTTGAATGTATAGATTGCCAAATATGCTGAGTTTTTGAATTTTATATTGGATTGAGTCAATATCTGATCCATTGATAGAAAATAAGAACATAGGTGTCAATGGACCAGGTTTGGGTTGAAACCAATATAAATTAACAGGAATTTGAACAAATTGGACAATCTTTAGACCGGTCCAAAATGATTCGAAATATTCATTGGACTGGATTGGATCAGGTCCATTTGTAATGGACTCACATTGCACTCGAGTGGATTGGACACAATCCAGTCCAATTGACACCCCTATATATGTGCAAATTAAGAAGCCAAAAAGAAAATTTTGAATGTATAGATTGCCAAATATGCTGAGTTCATGAATTTTCGTAAAGTTTTGTTTGGATGAATTATCGAGTTGCAACTTGTAAGACTGGACCAGGAGTCAATTTATATAAAATTTAGTCAACTCAAAGAATTCCAAAATTTAGTCAACTTGTATAAAATTTTCACACGATAGTATGACCCTTAAAAAAATATTAAGTTTACTGGTGCGAGTCCCATTTTAAAAGTTCTTACAAAATCCAAGCCGCGTACAGTATTTATCATAAATAAGCTTTTTTATTATCAATTTTCTTTCTATATTAATAGAAAATAAATTAAAAAAACCTACAAAAAATAGGAACTATTTGAAAACTCGTAAATATATTTACAGGAAATTATTATTTTTTTAAGTTCTTAGATAATAAATAAATAGTTCCCTGGTGCTGAGAATTATTCAGCCTAGAATGAAATGTGGTAGGGGCCCATGTCCAGCTTTCTTTTAATGGATTCTTCCGCGCGCCATATCTACGGGGCAAAGAATTTAAACCCAGGTTTCCTATTCGTTTTTTGCTACTCACACTCTATCCAGCCATCGAAACTAGTGGGATGAAAAGCTGACAAAAGTAATACAACCCAATATTAGTGCCTGTACGTACTCTGTAATGTGGTGAAATTTTGAGCTAATGAAAT